CCAGGCAGCTGGGGCAGGTGCCAGACAGGCATGGCAGGCAGGCAATGGACAGAGGCCAGCAGGGCCTCTCCTCATGTCCCCACCCAAACAGTGGCCAGGGCTCTCCGCCCTTCCCAGGGCCTCAGAACAGATGGCCAGCTTGCTCAAGAAGGGATAGTGAGATGAACAAGACATTCTCCTCACCCCAGAGGCCTTCCCCATTCCCCCAGACTTTACAGAAAGAAAACAAACAAACAAACAAACAAACAAACACCAAAGGGTCAGAAAGAGAGACTTCATGGGCTGGGGTCCTGTGGCCAGCAAAGAGACATGAGAAGCCAGAAGTGGACGGTTCCATCTCACCCTGTCAGAAACCAGGCCAAGCTGGCGATGGTGGCACATGTGTATAACCCCAGCCCTTGAGAGGCTAAAGCAGGAGGACTGTGAGTTCAAGGGCAGCCTGGGCTACATTTGGAGACCTGCCTCAAAATAAGTAAATAAATAAATAAATAAATAAATAAATAAATAAATAAATAAATAAATAAATAAATGAGACAAAAGTCAGGCCAAAAGCCGGTGGGGAGGAATATGCAGAAAAAGGGAAATGAGCCCTGAGCAGGTCCGCCTGCTCCTGATGCTGCTCCTGATGCTGCTCCTGTCTGTCTGTCTGTCTGTCTGTCTGTCTGTCTCTGTGTGTGTGTGTTTGCTGAACATGCCCAGGCCAGGTGCCCTGCTCTATCACTTTCTGCCTGACAGGGTCACTCACTGGCCCTGGAGCAATGCTGGCAGCCAGCAAGCCCGGTGGTCCTTGTGCCTTCAGCCTTTACAGCTCTGGGGTCATAGGCATAGGCATCTGTTCCCATCTTGTGTGAGTGCTGGGGATTCGAACCCGGGCCTTTATGCTTGTATATGAGGCTTTTATTCAACTGAGGTATCTCCTCAGCCCCTGCCCCGGGTGTGGAGAGAAAGCCTCACTAGAACCTTCCACGAGGCCCTGTGCTCTTAGTGTTCCTCTCCCTGCCATCTCCCTCAGCAGTCAAACAAGCAGAGACATGGGAAAAGGTTCCCAAACCATGACATCGCCCCGTGGTTCCCACAACCTTCCTGTTCTACAACTTTTGGTCTTTGCTCCAAGACCAATCGATTTCTCGCTGCTGTGGCCTGGCAAGACCTTCCTGACATGGCGGTCAGTGTTAAAAATGGCCCTGTGTCCTCCACTGACTACTCAGGCCTGTCCTAGTTACCAAACACTGGCCGGTGGGAAGCCCCAGCCTCGGCCTCTTGTATCTCACCCAAAAGCACTCTGGGTTGCTGCTTTGGTGCTGTTTCCAAGAGCCCAGCTGTGGTTTCTTTGCCTACCTTTGCATGAGGAGGCCCGCCACGTGTGGAGGAGGGCATGTGACCAGTTATAGTCAACAAAATGTAAACCAAAGGCCCTTCCTTCTCTTTCTCCCATTCTTTTCTCCTTCTTAATCTTCTCCACAGCCCTAGCTTGCCATTCTATACACTAGAGTGAACAGGCTGACTGGGAAGGAGCTAGAGGCCTGGATGAGGGAAGGGAGCAGAGCAACCTGGGGCTACATACAAGTAACCAGGACAGTATAGGTTTACTGGGTACACGCACCTGTAAGCCCAGTATCAGAGAGACTGAAGCAGGATTGTGAGCTCAAAGAAAGCTTGAGCTGTGTAACCAGGCGGCATCCCAGAAATCCAGGAGACGGGATTGTAGCTCAGTGGTAGAGCACCAGCCTAGAATTCCCCAGTGAGGGGCTGGGGTGTGGCTCAGTGGTCACTTGCCTAGAATCCCCCAGTGAGGGGCTGGGGTGTGGCTCAGTGGAAAAGCATCTGCTTAGAATTCCCCAGTGAGGGGCTGAAGGTATGTCTCAGTGTACAGCCCCTACCCATAATCCCTCAGGGAGGGACTGGAGGCATGGCTTGGCAGTAGAGCACCTCCTTAGCCTGCGCAAAGCCCTGAGTTCCAGCCCCAGAATTACAAAAAAGTTGCATTCTGATTCCGCTCACCCGGAGATCTGGCTATGGCGGTTACAGCTGCTCACATCTCTTAGCCTCATGTGTTGGTGTTCAAGTAGCTCTGGGTCACATGGCCTAAGCATGAATGCACTCACAGCTAAGATCGATCATAGGTGGCCAAACACACAGGAGCCCAACAATGGCCAGGCCAAGGACCTGCTTGGCAGGCACAGCCTCTGGTCCTCCGCCCTGCTGCCTCCCAGCTGGGCCAGGCTGGTTGGAAAGTACCAGTCCCTGGTAGCGCCAAAGGCTGGCGCAGAGCCTGGGGGGCGCTAGTGTCCGAGTCTCAGTTCTGCCTGCTCTGGCCTGTCCCTGCTGCCCAGCTCTCAGAACCCACGAGACAGGCTGGGAGTGGCGTGAGGGGCTGCAGAGCCCGTGTTGGACCCCCGGGAGCGGCTTAGCTGCAATTCCCCGGGTCAGTGTATGAGCCCAGCCTCTGGTCTATCAACCAGATGGTCGCTTCAGCAGGGAGAGAAAAACCTGACACGCCATTTCAAACCGATTTCACGGCGGGCCTCCGGAGAGCCTCAGCGCGTTCCTGACAATCCGATCTGTTGTGAATAAATATGACAAAATTGCCAATTACAGAGGGAGGCCTCAATGTCGCTCAGGCCAGGCTGGCTATGGCCGCACACTCGGGGGCCAGCGCCATCAGGGGGATGGCCCAGCGGACAGAGAGAGCCTGGTCCAGATGAAGGCGGGGGTGGCTGGGCTGGGGCCATGTGCTGCGCCAGCAGGCCCAGGAACAAACCGCCAAGGCCAGGCGTCTTGCCAGCCTGGCAGAGGGACCTGCAGCCGATGGCCCAGCTCTGGCTACTGCTCTTGGACATACCCCAAGGCCTAATTTTCCTAGGTGGCTTCATGAGGATGGGGCCTGGAGTTTAGCTGTGTTTGCTGCGGATTTTCATGTGTGTGTGTGTGTGTGTGTGTGTGTGTGTGTGTGTGTGTGTGTGCATGAAAGTGAAGGCCAGAGGACTACCTGGAGGTCAGACCTCAGGTGCTGTCTACCTTATGTTTTTGTGAGGCAGAGATTCTCACTGGCCTGGAGCTCATCATCTAGGCTCGGCCAGAGGCCCAGGAATCCTCCTGTTTATACTTCCCTACCATATTACAAACACAAACCACCATGTCTGGCTTTAAATTTTTTGTTTATTTACTTATGTGTGTGTGTGTGTGTGCTCACACATGCATGCAGTGGCTATAGAGGCCAGTAGAGGGAGTCAGGTCTTCCTGGAGCTGCAGCTACAGAACATTGTAAGCTGCCAGAGTGGGTGCTGGGAACTGAACTCAGGCCCTCCGGACGAGCAGCCTAAAGGCCCTCCGTGACCCCTGCGTGCCTGGCTGCACCTATTTCCAGCTTACCCATGGGGCAGGAAGTCAGTGCTCTGCGCACTCCAGCAGGCCACCGGGAGCAGCCTGAATTTCCCCGCCATCTTGAAATGCATATCCAGGATGGACTGAAGCCTGAGTTGATGGGCGTAGCATGGCTGTTTCCTCCTGGTTGGGTGTCGGCACTGGCATATTGAAGTGGAGCAGTTGGAATCGCCGCATTGATGACCCTGTCTATTAGCATTCCCCTGTGGATGGAGCGGGGACTTCTGGAGACTCAGGAGACAGTCACAAGGCCTTGCTCCCCACCCCGCCCAAGATTTTCATTGTTACTGCAGGGCCTGTGAAATTCACTAGGGTAAAGGACCTGGTTGCTGGGGTAGGGGGAGGTGGAGAGATGCTTGAGGACCCACGTTCAAGCCCCAGAGACATAAAAATGTGTGGTGTGGGGCTGGTGACCCAGCTCAGTAAGTAAAAGTACTTGGTGCCAAGCCTCAAGCTCAGTCAGGAGAGAACGGACTCCCACAAGTTGTCCTCTGACCTCCATGTGCGTGCCATGGTGTTCATACCCCTCACCACCCCACCCCGCACAAACAAACACGTGAGTGTAACGTGTTTTTAAAATGTCAGACTCGTGCATGTAACCCCGATGCAGAGGACATGGAGACCGGAGGATTCCTAGGGCTAGGTAGATGAGCAGTGTAGCCTGCTTGGCAAGTTCCAAGATTCCACAAAAAAAAAAAAAAAAAAAACGAGGTGGATGGCCCTTTAGAAACACTGGGTTTGTGCTCTGGCCTAAACACACACACACACACACACACACACACACACACACACTAAGAGCTGGCTAGCCTGGCACTTCCTGGTGATTTCTAAGTCCTCTGTGCTCCCGTCAGGAACTCTAACACTCTGGCTGAACTGGATGGAGTTTTCCTTTGCTCTGCTCCTTGGCTCCATCTCCATCTGGGAGGAGCTGATGTTCCCTTACTGCAAGGCAGAAAAGTCACACGGCCATAAGGTGACGGAGACACCTGCACTTTACAGAGAGAACTCACACTGGTTCCCCAAAAGGGAGCTGGGCCACGCAACACCAGGTCTCCTAGGGACGTCCCAGGCAGAAGACAGGGTAGAGCCTCGTGCAGGCACTGGTGAGCTAGAGACCACGCTGAGCAGGCTGGGGGTTGAGTGACGTTGGTGCATTCCCAGTTCCTGGTCCTAGCTGACAGGGGGCAGGGACAAGTTAGGTTTAAGGATGACTACTGTAAAAGATGTGGCCGGAGACGCAGGCTTGATCAGGCTCTTGTGTGAAGGCACAGGCATGGTGGAGCACTAGCCACTCTAGGGATTGCCTGGCACGGAAGGGGCCGTTCTCCATGGTGGCAAGGCCCCAAGGTGTCACACACCATAAAACCCGGAAGATGAAAACGCAAAGCCTGTGTCTGACTTCCTGTCTAGAAAGGACCAACAGCGGGTGAATGACCCACCAGGTCCCATCGCCCCCACCGGGACTTCAGCCCTCACGTCTTTCGTTCCCCAGCATTAGGCTGGTCTTGTGTCTCTCTGCTGGTGCTGGGCTGTTACCTGTGTGGACCATCTCTGTGCCAAACACACTCATTTTCCTTCGGCAATAAGTGAAGGGTCCGTCCTCACAGGCACCTAGTCTAACCCTTGTGCCGAGCCCCGAGGGCTGCACGTCAAATGTCAGTCATGTCAACGGGGCAAACCTACCCAATGCACAGAATGAGCTCAGCAGAAGCAGAAATCACAGGGTTTATCTTGGAGAAGCTCAGGGCCTGCTGCAGGGCCTGGACAAATCACTACTGAGGCCGCCGTCACCCTCAGCACCTCCATCATGATCGGTTATCATTGTCTGTCATTATCACTGCCACCTTCATCACTATGATCACCACCATTGTCTCCACACACAACCACCACCTCCGTCACCCTCACCCCCGTCACCCTCACCACCATCACCGTCATCCTCACCACTGTCACCCTCACCACCACCACCGTCACCGTCACCCTCACCACCATCACCCTCACCACCGTCACCCTCACCACCGTCACCCTTACCACCATCACCCTCACCACCGTCACCGTCACCCTCACCACCATCACCCTCACCACCACCACCCTCACCACCGTCACCCTCACCACCATCACC